ACTTTGGGCCAGCTTCGCTCTAGCTCTGGATTGTTTTTTTTTAAACGTTGATTCTCTGAATAGTCGAATTCAAATTTTGTGGACATTACGTTTATTACATAAGATATGACGGCGATCTATGCCACCTTAGCGAGACAATTTCGAGAAGTGGCGACTGTGTTAGAAAAATGACCAAGTCTATGTTGAGCATGTATGACAATCATATTTAATTAAGTGGTATGGTTCGTGAGGGAACATAACATTTCTGACCCTAAACGTTAAAGTAGGTTATTTTTTCACTCCCTCTCCATATTTACGATTCTAACAGTAAAAATCACCTCATATCAGCGGACAGCGATGAAGGTTTAAAAAATTTATCACTCTGGAAACCAGAGCACAATGTATTGGATGAAAATAAACTTTCATAGAAGCTTTTAGATACGCCACCAGATCGAAACTGGAATATGCATGCCTAAGTTATGCGTCGACCACCACATACGACGAATGCCATTTCTCCTAAGAACCAAGGGAACTGGAGACACAAAGCGAAAACATCATTATAATACGCCAGATAAGACGAGATTAAACTTGCTAAATGTCTTCTAATAGAATTTCGTGCCGCAAAAAAGGAAGCAAGGCCTACGTTTTTTTTGTATTTACACGACGGTCGCAAGAAAAGTAATCATATACCCTAAGAGTAGCTATTTTTCACTGAACAGGCTCTACGATTTAATGTCCCTACCATTTTTCCCACATTAACTACATACCTATGAATGTCAACCCTTCTCACACGATTAGGTTCTTAGAAATTGTTAGAAACGGGTAATTTGTTTTCACAAAATACGTTATATTTGTAAGAACCACAAAGCAGAATAAACTGTGCCGCAGATGTTAGCTTTTAAAGTAGGTAATATCATGTTATAACAATATACAAAAAAGATTTTCCTTTGTACAACATACGGTTAATTTTCCTCTTTAGCTACTAAGCTTTGTAATAGAAGCACATGATATAAGACTTTCCGTGTATGGTATAAAAGAATCTCAAAGTAACAACGTCTTGAGCAAATATATACTGCTTTAATGATCGTCATCGGTTTACAAATTTCTAATAGAATTTGAGCCATCCAACCTCTGCGCTTGAACAGATTTTCGGCTTTATTTAGGTTTTCTAAATCTATACATTTAAAAACGACGTCCTTCAACATATATGCTTTATTGATACTTCATTACTATAAAATCATTTGACAACGCTGAGGGCCACGTAACATCTACCGCCAACGCGTATTATTTGATTTGCCTCTAAAAAGGGGCTCAAACTCCAAGCTTGTTTCGATCCTAATCCAACCTTCTTTTCGAAATCACCTTAATGGAATTCGGATTGAACAATTCGCAAACAAAGAAACGAATCAATTTTTATTTCTTTTCATCTTTGTGAGCCAAGTATTTTTATAACCAGATCGTCCCAATCTAGACCTGGTGACCGAGGGGCTTCCGAACAGAATTTTCAAAAGCTTCCCTCTTGCACTGGAGACTGTCTACTCAGTTGTCTCATCAGTCATCAGAAGTTCAAATGGGGATTCACATGCAAGTTCAGTTGTTTACTGTTAAAAGATTGAAAATATTGTGGAAAGTCCTCACAGGATATGTGTGCGAAGAACAACTAAAAACGCACAAAATATTCAAGAAAACGTAATTTTGGTGCCTTTGGAGGTGGAAATGGAAATTCTAACAAACACCGATTTTGCTAAGGCAAAATTTGTAATTCAATGGCAGAGCCTTTGAAAAATGACTGTCCTTTTTCAGTGTTAGAATTGCAAGGAGGAGGAAGCTCTAAAATATTAAGGCAAGCCTAATAGAATGAAATCTCCAAAATAACTTCTTCTAGTTGTTTACGTTCTGAAAGTTTTCCAATCCACCTTTCCACGAAGTAGTTGGAAAACTATAAATAGACGTGGGAAAAATTGCAATAGCAGATTCTGAAAGATTACCAAGAGTAATTGCCTACTAGCATCCAAAATTAGACAAAATCGGCACGAAAAGCGGGTGTGTTTTACATGTGATTACAGTTTTTCTTTAGCTCACACCTCACGAATTATCAAAAAGCTTTAAACAGCGCTTGATTGCAGGTGAGCTCTAGATCGATTAGGGGAGTCTAATAGGGTAAGCTTAATCTTGGTGCCAGCGCACTGCGGAATAAGAGGCAAAGAAAGGGCGACCGAGTTGGCTAACGAGGGCATAGGGTGTTCTTCGTGCCCGAGCCTACTCTAGGAACTGCTCCCTCCTTTGTCAGGGCCAGGATTAAAGACTGGGTGACCAACCGGAGTCAGACTATTATGGCAAAACCGGAAGTTGTTTGAAACTGAAATATTTTTGATGAAAGGGTTTCAATGGATAACCCTTATGTATCAGTATGTAATAATGAGCTTAGCTCGTCCCCAATTGAAAAATTATTAACAAAAAAAATTATTTGCTATATTGCTGTGTGCAATGGTATGCGGCCCCTACACGTGTACGTCCAGCTAACTCAAAAAGATGGTCACTACAACAATAACCAAAATAATACTGTTCATTTAAACACAAACCAAATTTATTTGATAGTTGGTGTATTGGAATAGACGATAGTTCCACCGACAAAAAAACCACGCATGCAAGCGCTCGATAATAATCGATAGACAAATCATTGTACATTACAATGTCATCTACCATCTCTTTAATAATGGGACGCAGAGCACGAAATAAACTGAGGTTCAGAACAGAATACAATATTGTGTCCATGGAAACGACAGGAGAACCTAAGTTTGCTATTTTGGGGGTCTAAATTAAGTACCTACGTAATTTACAGAAGTTTTATGATGATTTCTATGAATTCTGTTATAAAACATGATACCAACCTTTTAAATATGACACAAATAATTTACCTTATCTTATAACGCCTGGACCTCCGCCGCACTCATCTTGATTCTATCTTCATCCCGTATTTTTTGTCTAACCATTTTCTATTCTTACTTTATTTTGCACACTCGAAAGCTCTGCTTTTCAACTATCTTCTGTAATGCGTAATTCTTCCGCCTCCTGGCTCTTCTCTTATTCTTTCCCACGAAAACAAACCCGTATTTTTTTCCATTAGGTTCACTAAAGTCTCAAAATCTTTTTCTAACTCCTCTTTCGCGATTCAATTATTTTTTCCAATCAAATCAAATTTTGGCTTCGTTACACAGTTTAATTCCCGTCTTTTTGGGAATACTGAGATAAAACCATTGTGTACTTCAACCTGTGCTATCGCTTTTTGCTGCTTCTGCACTTGTATTTCTTCTTCGACCTGGTATTTTTGAACTTTCACATCTCCTTGTTGTCTTTAATTTCGCAATATGTTTCTCTATTTTTTAACTTAAATCGGCCTTCAATTCTCTCCATTCTCTCATTCGATTGCGCCTTCGATCTTTATATTGCCTCCAACCGAATATAAAACTAATTAATACTCAAAATGAAACAATTAGAATAACTTTACAATAGTCAAAGCAAAATTTGTATCGTAGATCTTGGCTTCGGATAAAGCTTCGGTAACTTCAAAAGCTTATTTGTAATTTTATTTTATTTTTATTATAATGTTTGTAGAATTGAAGTAAAATAAAAGTAAACTAGAAACTCGCCTATAGGGTCATTGTTGGCTCGTAAAAATAGCGGTTGACCTTCACAAATGAATTTTCGTAGAAAGTACGACTTTACACAAGTGTATTTTGTATTGTTGCGCATATTCTGGAAAGCCAAACATACCAATCAGGTGTTCACAAGGCGCCATCAAGTCTATCGATATTAATCACCGGCGATAAGGAATGAAGGTGGATGTGATGCGTTCTTTCTGAGAAATGCGATCTGCTTATTCGGGAATTCTCGTGAATCCTCGAGAATGGTTTGTGATCTTTCTAGAAACATTCCGTTTTGCTATATAAGCAAATTGAAACGGGTTTAATGGCAGTATTCTAATATCGATGCTGAACTGATTATTTGTGAAGTTCGCGCTCGTATGTGATAAATTTACCTGTTTAAAATTTATGTAAAATTTATTAATAATTAATTAGAAATAAAGGAATGGTGCCAATCAAATGCACCTTCTAACCGTTTCCCAAATTTCGGCCTGAGGATGGTGGCAGTAAGTAGTAGGAGGCCACAACATACTGATATGTTCAGATTGCTTGCCTTTCCACACTACCGAAACGATGTCGAGTTACTAATATGAATAAATGTATTGCCTATTGAATTTTCAATGTGTCACCATACGTGCATTAATTGCAGCTCATGGTGGAATTAACCGCGTATAAATTATTTACCTTCTGATAACCTTCCTTACTTTACTTTCCCTTGACCTCTATAAATATTTCAACCGGACTGGCATACGCATTGATTACCTTTGCGCTACGCTCATGACAGTCAATTTCAATTGACTAGGAGCACGCATGAGGTACTAATTAATTATACCATCTCTAGACCTTTACTTGAAAGGCCCTGCATAATATTTCCTACCACTAATCATAACCTTGCCAACTAGCAACCTTGTTCACTACCACCAACTCGTACCAATTAGATAGCCCCCGTGTCCGTGTCCTGCGTTTCCCAAGACACGTCATATTAGGTTTTACTGTCCACTATAAATTGCCTATTTATGGATCCTTAGGGAGTTTGGAAGTTGCTCTTCTGCAATAGAGTTTCCATAGGAATCAAACGGACACGCCGGTTTAGTACCTATAGATTTACTAATGATATTGTTATGAACTTTACTGAATAACTTTCGTGTGCATTTCTACCCCTGGTGTAATCGTTAAAATTTATATAAGCGTGGTTTTCTTTGCAATCGGCTGTAATTGAATTCTCTCGTTCTCATTAGTAAATAGGTACCTAAGAAAATGTTTCGATTGAAAGGGCACGATTGCCATATAACTCGCTTAGTTTATGGCACTGTAACTCCAATTATTTACGCCCTAAAGTTAAATTAATATGCCATTATACATATTTCATTGTTTCAGCATGCATCGAACTGCATACTTCTGCTAACGGCGAACATTCTAGGGCTGACATCCTATTTCGTGGAAGATAAGCAACAAAGGAGAGCGTTCCTTGAGACGAGGCAATCGCTTGAAGTAAAGCTCGTGATAGAGGAACAAAGCGCGGAGCAGGTAACGACTCATGCATAAGTAATTTAGGATGCTCACGTAGAGCTTAAACTTTGCATTAATCTAACCAAACAGCAAATGTTGTATGAGGTACTGCAAGGATTAAGTGAATATACAGGACGTCCCGTTTTAGAGCATTTTCTTTGACACGATAGTAAATTACAATAATAACAAAAGTGTACTTAAAAATGACATTGTCTCATTTTAGTTCGGTCTTGTTTTGTGAAAATTGAAATGCAAGAAGTAATTGCACAGAAGAAGAGAATTTTTTGGGAGAAACTTTCCTTTTTAGATATTTTTGAATGTTTGATCTTTCCGTATCCCCGTGTACCTTTACGTTAGGGTTTTCATCAACAAATTTTGAAATCCAGGATTTGAAGGTAGAAATACCAGGACATATCGTTTTAAAACCAGGACACGCCAAGATGGGAAGTACTGTATCGGACAAAATTTTGTTTTAAATATTCGAAAAGGTAAAAAAACGAAATTTGGGCGAAAAAAATTGTTCTTCTGTGTGGATTTTTAGTTAATGTTAATTATGTTTAATGTTTAATCGGCTACAATATGTCTTAATGTTAGATAAAGGAGCTAGTAGGCGAAAGAGAAAATAAGCAGAATGCATGTTTTTTCTTTGTTTCAAAGAGTAAAGTAAAACACTGAAATTGTGAAAAGTTTGTTTAATAATGATCGTTATTATTAAAATTATGAAAGCCCGGAAATTTAGTTGATGTATAGATGTACATTAATGTAATCAAAGTCAAAAGGTGTCGTACTCTCGCAAAAGTAACTACTAAGGGTAAAAAGAGTACGACGTAGAAAAACCTGGCAGTTTGATTAATACAGTCCAAAAGTTTGTTAACAAATGTATCCATTGAAACGTTACGTTGTAGTTTAATAAATAAAAAGTTAACAAAATAATTTGTAAAATGTGTAAAAGTTTAAGCAGTAGTTAACAAAGATAGTAAATGCATATCCACAATGTTGGTTACACTCAAGCTTAAAAACAAATAATAATAATCTTTATTCCTGTTTACGCGCAATAGCACTTACATTTGTCAACTAGTTTCTTAAAAATTAAAATATATAACACACTATATCACACATAATATAGACAAACAACACAGCTTCAGTTTATGCCACCACCTGTGTGTAAAATATTGGTAAAGCCTTCGGTTAAACATTCATGCACTGAAAAATATGCCTTATCAAATAGGTATTTCTTAATTGTTTTTAATTGTTTTTTGTTATACATTTGAACATTTTCAGGCAGAAAATTAAATATTTTTTGAGATAGGTAGTCATGGTTATTTTGAGTTTTTGCTATTTTACAGTAATCCACTCTAATGTTGTTCTTATTCCTAGTATTGTAACTATGCAGTTCAGATTGAATTTTGTATTTGGCATAGTTCGTTTTAGCAAATAAAATACATTCCAACACGTACATGGATGGCAGCGTTAATATTTTAAGGGAACGGAATGATTTCCTACATTCGTCTCTATAGGGTACAGAGTCAAGTATCCTTACAGCTCGTCTCTGAAGTGCAAAAACATCTGTTGCTGCAGCACAGTTGCCCCAAATTAGTATACCGTACTGTATTACTGAGTGTACTAGAGCATAATAAGCTGCTACTAAGGTTTGTTTTGATAAACTGTTACTAAGACGTCGTAGTACATAAATATTGCTGCTTATTTTTTTACAAATATGTATACCTTGCGTGCATTGAAAAGTTTAAAGTTCCGTCGACATGCACCCCTAGAAATTTTACCGACTGGGGATTTTCAAAAGAATGTCTTTTGAACGTTTGGAGCAGTTTCTCAGTTTTATTTGTGTTTAATATTAATTCGTTGGTTGTGCACCATTCAGAAGCAATCGAAATTAATTTGTCTTTTAAGACTAAAGTTTCTTCTAAAGTGCCGCGCTGTACAGTTAAAGTGGAGTCATCTGCATACAGAATGCCATCAGCGTGCGGTTGCATGTACTGCGCAAAATCGTTAAAATATATTAAAAATAATAAGGGACCTAAAATTGATCCCTGTGGAACGCCTCTCTTAATAGGTAATTTGTCAGACACCACTCCATCATACACCACATGCTGAAATCTGCCAGACAAATACGAATTAATTAACTTTAGGCTATTCGTGTCAAACTTGTACATAATTTCTAATTGACTTAGCAATATTTTATGAGAGACGCTATCGAAGGCTTTCGATAGGTCTAAAAACATCAGTGCTAGAGAATATTGACCATGTTCGAAGCAGGTTAGAGTACTATTTACAAATTTAGAGAGTGCACTAATCGTGTTTCTTTGACTCCTGAATCCATACTGATTCTGATGTAAGAGATTATTTGATTCAAAATAATCGGCAATTTGATTGTAGATTATTTTTTCGTATATTTTTGAGAACGTAGGGAGTATTGATATTGGTCGATAATTCGAGTAAACAGTATCAGTACAGAGGTACCTAAATTATGAGAAAGGGTGAAGGATACAGGATGTGACTCATCTCTGGTGCAATGAAGTCTTTTTGTTAAAAGCAAGATGGAAAATTACATGGTCTTGTAGGCAAATTCAACTATCGGTAAAAATATGTGGAAGTTATTTAATCGCAACTCATATATCACACATAGATTCTAAACCGAAGAGTTTTTGATTCGCATAGTCAGGCTCCGGCAAGATAGATAACTCGCCCCTGGTTTCGGGGTTTCGAGCCTACAGTTGAATGTCGAAGACAATCACGGAATTAGGTGTCGTAGCTCAAATGACTACAGCTCTTACCACCCCCATGACTGCTTCATTCACGGAGAAAATATTAGTTACAAACAACAGGTCAGTACATACATCAAAAGAATCGGTAATTTCCACATATTAAAATAAAATGATCAAAACTTGAAACTATGAATGTTACTTCAGGGACAAAACCAAGTAATCAACATCAATAAACGTAAATTAAGCAATCATTCGCCAAAAACGTAAACAATTAAAAACAAAAGGATAACGCTATCAAATATGTGATTCTGCATTAAGGTTAAATCAAGTCAAAAACAAAGATTGAAACTCACACAAGTATAAAATGCTGCATACAAAACACAAATACGACGTAAAGACATGCAAAGATTACTATCTGCATTAAATAACCCAAAAATAACAACAAACTATCACGATCGATGCTTTCATGATCGCCATTAAAAAAAAACAAGATCCCAAACGTAACCAACGTTTGTGCTCTCCAGATGGCGCAAACAGCTTTCCTCACCTAAAAGTTGCGTGGTTGCCAACTCTCAAAAGTGTGTGCATCGCCGTAAGTTGTATATACAGAGTGAAACTTCTCACGACCTTCGCTTTTACCGGAAATATTTTAAATAGTATACTCTAACGTCACTTTTTAAATCTACGCGAAGTGTGGACTGCATTTGATACATTTTTTTCGAAATTGTGGAAATGATACTCCTGCAGTAAATAAATTGCCTTTTATAAAGCAAACACAAAACAGACCCATTAGTTTCTAGATTTGCTTAAATAAGGAATTGGCCTTACTTAATATGTAGGTAATAAGTAATAACATCAGTTCAAAAAGTTTATACAGAGTGTTCAGGACTTCATGTCAAATTTCGCAGATTCGAAATTGCGAAAGCTTAACTTTTTGTTAGTGCATTTTCCAACCCATGGATTGCGCTATTATGACCATCTTATCCGTCCGTCCGTCCGATGCCTTATCTACCCCCTAGAGTTTTGAAAATATGTAGGTACATCAATTCCATGACAACTAGGACAGTATTTGTTTCTTGACGGTTTTGTTAAATAAAAGACAAGCAATAATTAAAAATACTTCAATAGCTGTAAAAATTTTCCATTTACTCTCCTTTATACAAAAAACTGTTCATTTAAACTACCCTTATTTCTTAGAGTGGAATCCATTGGCTAACGATAGGGTTTTCATTAAAAAAAATGGTTTTCGCATTTTAAGTACGAAATTAGGTATGACTTTCTGAGCACTTCGTAAACATTTTTTAGTGAATTTATACAAATAAGGCATCATACATTTGTGTTGTAATATGATATATTTGAATAATGTGTGCATTACCACATAAATAGAAGAGAAAGAGAAAGCGTTTGGATTACAATTGACTTTTGTTGAATTTTCGTTAAAATATGTCATTTTAATTGTGTTTTAATGCTACCAAATTTATATTAATAGTGTTCTACGTCCCGGAAAACATAGGATCACATACATATTACCAAAAGCAGAAAAACTCCTAAATTTGACGCTATTTTGGACGCCATTTCGAATACTTAACTCGCTTTCGGTTGGGATTTTGAGTTGGCAAACGGAATTTTTCGGATTCAGCGGGGACGAATTAGGGGGGGGGGGGGACGGCTTTAACTCAATTTTACATGAAATGCTTCTTGCATTGAAACGGAAAGATTTTTTCAAATTGTAGCCCCGACTATTTTGAAACATAAGAAACAATAAGTTGTTTTCCAACTCCGGAAAGCCTTCATCACCAGCCGAACAAGTTTTCACCTTACACCAAAATACTGTAAGGATTTCCGGAGTTGTGCAACTCCTGAACCTGAAGATCCTAATAAATAAGTGAACGTAGTGATTTACAATGTGCCTTAAACAGAATATTTAAATTTCAGGAACGCCTTCTGCTGTCCGTGCTGCCTGAACACGTCGCTGTGCAAATGAGGCAAGATTTGGATTTATGTGATACACAATTTAAGAAAATTTACATGAGTCGTCATGAAAATGTCAGGTAAGATCTTACAGTAACTAAAAATTGAATTATCGAACGTTATTTCGTTAAACACAAGAATTTTCTAAATATTGTACAGCGATTTCGAAAATTACAAATGATAAGATCTAAATGATAACTATAACTTACAAGTTAGTACTATCTCCTAGCTATTTTGGATTGGAAGAAGCCTTTCGTGCCAGTGGTTTTGTTCCTGTCGAGTGTCGGTGATCAACATCAACCCGTAAGGGATTTTTAGTACATTTCGGACTGGAACGTGTATAGTGTATTCTACCTTAATGAGAATGCAATTAGCTTGAATTTAACTTAACAGTCTTAGTACAACTACTATTTTATACTATAATATATCTACTTACTGTGCGCACCACATTTAAATTAATTATTACGCAGGTCCGTAGGTACTTCATATTTAAAATGTTTTTTTTAGTAAAGGTATACATAATTTATGAGGCAACCAGCAATTATGCCCTTCCACATTGGGCCTGACATTAACTTAACATAATTAACTTGACCATCAGCACCTAGATCCGTTATTAATTAAATGGAAGAAGCTCTTAAAAGTTTCCAACTGAATTTTACCTTTACATTAACGTATGAATGAAGTGCGACAACTGCCCCTATTCTAGCAGTTAGCGCACTTCGATTTAATAACCTGCTGCCCTATTATACAATTTTAAACTTACAATCCGATTGAACTATAACGATCGGAATTTATGAGACTATGGGCCCGTTTAGGGAACGCAACGGCTGAGAAACAACTGTCCAACTGCTAACTTGCGCTAATTGCCAACAGTTGGCTATTCCCTAAAGGCCTAAACGGTTCACATAAACTGAGTATATAAACAAAACAAACGCAAATATGTGAGGTTAAGTTTCACAACGCTTCGTATGTAAGCGAAAAATTTTTACGCTGATTGAAATACACAACTGTTGACGGTCAGCGCCTTAGTCAGCGTGTCGTTTAGGGAACTATATTGGCAACTGTTGTCAACAGTTGTGTTCCCTAAACGCGCCCTATGTTTTTCTTTTATCATAGTCCATGGCTACTTAGACTAAAAACTCGTGAAAACAGAATCTTTATAATTAATTTTTTCGCGTACAAGAAGAGGTAGAATAAACCGATACAACGAAATATCGAAGGATCCTCAGTATTACAATCACTTTTAACGACAATTTATTTTAATCTTACAAAATACATTTTATAGTTAACAAAAATGCATCAAATTCATGTCTTGGGCTTTGAGATAATGCTCTTGGTTTTTTTCCCAACGATCTTGATGCATAAATAACGATTTTGACATGTTTTGATCAAAATCCATGTGGTCCATAAAAATAGATCAAATTCATGTTTAGATCATTGAGATAATGCTCTTGATCTTTTTCCCAACTATCTTGGTGCATAAATAACGATTTTGACATGTTTTGATCAAAATCCACGTTTTCGCCAAAAATTCATCAAATTCATGTCTTGGGCATTGAGATAATGCGCTTAGTCTTTTTCCCAACGCTCTTGGTGCATAAATAACGATTTTGACATGTTTTGATCAAAATCCACGTGGTCGCCAAAAATGCATCAAATTCATGTCTTGGGCATTGAGATAATTCGCCTAGTCTTTTTCCCAACGCTCTTGGTGCATAATTAACGATTTTGACATGTTTTGATCAAAATCCACGTGGTCGCCAAAAATGCATCAAATTCATGTCTTGGGCATTGAGATAATGCGCTTAGTCTTTTCCCAACGCTCTTGGTGCATAAATAACGATTTTGACATGTTTTGATCAAAATCCACGTGGTCGCCAAAAATGCATCAAATTCATGTCTTGGGCATTGAGATAATGCGCCTAGTCTTTTTCCCAATGATGTTGATGCATAAATAACGATTTTGACATGTTTTGATCAAAATCCACGTGGTCGCCAAAAATGCATCAAATTCATGTCTTGGGCATTGAGATAATGCGCCTAGTCTTTTCCCAACGATCTTGGTGCATAAATAACGATTTTGACATGTTTTGATCAAAATCCACGTGGTCGCCAAAAATGCATCAAATTCATGTCTTGGGCATTGAAATAATGCGCGTAGTCTTTTTCCCAACGATCTTGGTGAATAATTAACGATTTTGACATATTTTGATCAAAATCCATGTGGCCTCAGAAAAATAATTTAACATTTTTGAATCACACACATGCGGTTATCAAACGTGCACGTTATCAACTCTTTCAGCATCAAGATAATGCGTTTGAAAACTTTTACAACTCTAAATTCATGTGTAAAGAATAATTTTGGGTACATTTTGCTCTAAAACTTTTGACCGAGACCACAGAGAAGAGTTATATTGAATTGTTACACATCTAAGAGTCATAGGGAACAATCTAGCGAAAGTCCGAACTCGATACATGACCTAGGGAATGAAATATGTTAATTTTTATTATATTGAGTTCGCAGTTTTTCCTGTTCCCGATTCACTCGAAGTCGTATAACTTTTTGTTCCTGTTGAACCAGCTTCCTGAAAATCAATAGCGTCCGTTCTTAATGTCCAACGTACCCGTATACCAAATTTCAACACAATCGGCCACTTTTAAAAAGAGTTAGAGCGCACACGGACGGACGGACGGACGGACGGACGGACGGACGGACGACAATACAAAACTATAAAGGATCTGAGGATCCTTAATAATCGTTTCACATGATTTAGATGCAGAATTTATATCTCTATAACTTTTATTTGAATTATTTTTGCGTAAAATGATTAGGAAACGTTTGCGCAAAGAAAAAGTAATTTCCCATGTTAAATGCCTATGTTCCACTTTTCGATTTACACCCTGTACATGTTATATAATGAATTTATAAAAATCCTCCAGAGAAATTGTTTAATAGCCAAGGAATCCGTAAATTTAAAGACCTTTTGCGTTAGGCTATAAAGTATTGGTCGGCATTTTGCTTCAATATATTTTGTAAATAGGTACAGGGTGGCGCATATGTCAGTTTTCCCATGTAAAACGTTACAGGGTAGCAGAATAGAAAAATTTCAGATAAAAAAACAAATTTGTTATATTAACTTTACTCACATACTACATATAACGTTAAGTGTTACTGTGACCAACCTATCAAAACATAATATCCCACTTCATGGGAAAACTGATACATGCGCCACCCCGTATAAACATATCAGCATAAATATTGAAGCATCTGAAGGTTTCGACCCAGGTTGCTTTCTTTCTCATAGATAAATCAACTTAAAACAATATCAACCTGATATAACCAACTGTATTATGTATCGTATGGGTGGCACTCCATAGATACAGTCGTTTTCAGGTTGCATCAACAGTCGCCTGTGTGAGCTTTACATACCCTCCGAACCACGGTAATCAGAAAATGTTCTGTACCACTAAAATCTGGCAAGTTGTGGGATTCGAACTCACAGAGTCCGAGTCTTAAATATTAGTTAAACACTGAGGGACAGAAAACATCCAAGAGCATGATTAGAAGCGAACAAAAATAAAGACGCTGGGAAAGTAACTATTTAGTCCATTTGGAAAGAAGGCACACGCGATTGCCTAAGTTAGTGCACAAGATCCTGTTACTAAGAGCACAAGTGGGAATCACGGGAAAGAAACAAATCGCTAGTCCAGTTTGTTGCTCAGCGGATTTTCTCTTTGAAGAACTGCAACAGGAAATCCTATTGCAACCATGTAAAGGGTGGCATAGATCAAGTTTGTACACACTCCAGTACAAACAGGGTTTGAACAACAATATATAGGACATCATGACTTAAATTAAGTGAAATATCAGCGAGTAGGGAAAGGTTGCCAGCAAGTGAAACATTTAACAGGCTCTTGTATAAACTTTTTGGCAGAAGACCAATAATTAATTATTATTACAAATCAGTCAGTGACATAATTATACAGTACCGTGCCGTTACACGTGACACTTCTGTGATTTACTTGCCCGTTAATTTATTGTTGCTAATTTGTATGATTTCTAACTAGTCGCTCAAATAACGAATAACTAATTTAGTTAGCAGACCTATTCGAGACTTTATATCTGTGTAGGATGTCCAATTATGTGGATAAGGTTAACTGTCTATACATTTCTGATTTCCACCTCTTTTGCGATTATACAACGGCTAATACGTTTCCTATTATCTGACCCTAACTTAACATCCTGTTATCTTCTCCAGTTAATCCATAATGGTGACACCGCAAGCACTTACGACAATAGAATTGCCATACTCGACATGGCAATCACCGGGAGTGTTAGTATTATCCAACATTTCATCAAAAGAATGCTAAATTTGTCGCGCAATGTATTTTACGCTCGATTTTCCGATTTACTTGTAGTCTGGAGGCAAAAGGTATTCCGTAGGCTATTAATAATTAAGTATTTTACTCGTGGAAATATTTCAAAGGTAGGATTAGTGGGAAAAATCTCAAGGTTTCAAGATCTTGGAAAATATATTATCAATTGTATTATTTTCTGCTCTTCGTGTGTATAACGTTCACTTTTCAATATCTTTCATTTTTGAGTAATATTGTTGAGAGTTTCGGGTAAAATGATCAGAGAAAGTACCTACAATTTCGCAAAGAAACCTTTCATATTATAAGCTTTCGCTTTTTAATTATGATAAAACCACCCTATCACATTACTTAACATTTTTATACGATTTTAATTTCATACAAGTAAAACTTTTTTTCAGAAATTTAATTTAAGATAGTAAATATTTTCCTTTCTCCCTTTTTAGGCAATGATTTTGAATTTGATTGAATATTATTGTGTAAATTTACGCAGATTAGATGATGGATAACTTTTGTTTTAATAGCCACATTGTAATTTGTTTATTTTCTTGTAAAAACGTTAACACACATTTATAAAGGTTTGTTTAATTTTAAGATAAGCCAATAGTTGCGATTAGAGCTGCTTTTATCGCTAAAGGTAAATTAATTTGTAAACAGATGGTTGCAGGTATTGCGTTTTAGATGAATTGTGCGGATTTTAACAAAA